TGTCTAAAAATAGTAACTTTATGCTAAGAATGAGACTAAATGGGACTAAATGGGACCACTTTCTCATTTTTTTCAAGTCATGGTTCCATTTTAAGATCTGATATATAGTCACTTTACATGTTTTTTTGATAGCCAGTCCCAGCGGGATTCACGCCAAGAAATGTATGGGACCAGACCAAATGGGATCAAATGTGAAATTCATGGTCCCGGCGGCCAGTCTAGTTATAGCTATATAGAAATGAAGATAATCACACATGAAATGAATGAGATAACACTCATTATTATAGCACTGAGTAGAGTCATGTATGATATTCATATATAGATGTTTGAATAATTTTTGAGATCTAACATGAGAACATCTAGATATTTGATTTTTTGTATTAGATAGATGACAGGATTTGCAAAGCTCAGTGATAAGCTTGTCTGCAGTGTCTTCTAGATTGGTGATTTGAACACTAGTTGCATTATTTGTAAGCTTTTAAATGATGATTTTCAATGAATGTTCTAATCTCTTATATTATGTAGACTGAGTAGCTATAGAGATCTTAGATTTTTGAGAAGGTTTTGTGTGTATTAGCAGGTTGAAAGAATGATTTATTAAAGTGTGTAATAACAGATTAGAAGAAGAATTTGTAGAAGTTGAAGAATTTGAAGATATCATTTTTTCAGATATAGTAATATTAGAAGTGTGTGATGTGATAACTGCTGTGACTTCAGTAGTTGATTTTTCTGAGATAGTTGAATAAACAGCTGTTTCACTATTATATTCTGTAACTAGCAATTTCTCAAATACTTCAATATGTGTAAAGATTGTATTATCTGTGTGTTTTCACAATCTGAAGTCTTTTTCATCATAATAGATGCCTTTTATATAGAAACACAGTTTTCATGCAATGATATTTGTATGAAAATTCAGTATATAAGTTATGTTGATGAGATTGACATTGAACTGCTTTTCTGCTTCATTTATCATAATAGTTCTAACAGTTCTATAATCTTCAACTTTAGTGCTGAAATCACCTGTATAGACTTTCACATTCTTGTTCACAGATGTAAAGAATAGGAAACATGTTCAATTATTGTATATATGCTGTTTCATGCCAGTATCAAAGATCCAGAAGTTTCAGAGATAGAAGTGTGAATTTGAAGAGTTCATTGATATTTTTCAGATCTGCTGATTAATAGATTAATAATCAATAGATTGATGATTAATAGATTGATAATCAATAGATTGAGAAACTGATTGCTTCAGAATCATTTCTTCTAGAACTGCTTCATTGACATCTATCATATTCATATTCATGAATAATTCTCTAGATATTGTACAATTAATATATCTCTTTAATTCTTGATTTTTAAGAGCTTGATCAATCTGAGTTCTCTTCTTCTCATTTTCCTTTCATTCAGATGACTTTCTTGATGAATTGAGATAGTAGTACTGAGTATATCAGTGATAAGCTCTGCAGATGCAGTTTCTAAATGTCACTGATAATAATTACTGAGATCTTTCATTAAGAATAGTGAAGTTTATAGATTTATCTTCTTTAAGAATACTCATTTCTCTATACTGTTTCTTGAAGTCTTTAACTAACTCTATCAAAGATATGACATCTTTATCATGTTAAATATTCTTAGCTCATGCTTGTATATAATCTGCATCAATAGCTAGATTTGCATTTAAGAAGTCTTTCTTCAAGTTGAACTGTTCAGCTATATCTGTCTTTTTAATATCATCTTCAATGAGTGATCAGTTATTTAATTACTTCTCTATATCTCTGTTTTTCAGTGCTTTGCAGAGATCATGATATCAGATTCTCACATCATCTTAATAGTCTGCAGTTGTGAAGAAGAGATGATCTCTTAATAAACAGATAATTTTCTTCACATCATCATTCTCACTGTATATATGTTATAGCTCTGTGACATTCACTATTCTTTATATAATATCTTGTATCTTTGTCATACCTTTATTCAATTTCTCATATTTTATATATTTAATTTTTCATACAGTGATCTTAATATTATATGCTATCTTAACCTCTGTAATGACTTCTTCTGAATACTCAGGTTTCAGAGGTTCTTCTAGTTCAGAGAAGATATCAGATTTATTAAGATTGATAAAGTCTGATATCTTCTTGTTCTTTGCATATTCTAGTATATACTTGTATCAAAGTTTTCAATCTTCAGAAATACTAAGATGAACTGTCATACTAGACATTGTCTTATCTGTCATATCAGTTATATTGAATGAATTGAGAAATCAGTTCAAGTATTTGTGAATATGATCAGAAATCAGAGTGTATAACAGTCAAGAATTTCAGAACATATACATGTGAGAATCAATTATCTCAGTTTAATGAGAATCAGATATAATATAACAGTTGAGAATTTCAGATCATATACAGATGAGGATCAATTGTCTCAGTTCAAATAATTATTGTCAAATTCAAATGAGAATTGAGATCAGTGTATCATGCTTCTCTTCAGATGCTGCTTACCAGGCTCATAACTGTCAAAATAAGTGTCACAGATGAATATGTTGAAGACATATGAATCTTATGTGTATCAAGATCTGCTTATTATATTATCTATGCACTATCTAATATATCTATTTCATACAAAAGATAGAGCGATTTATAGTAAAATATATGTGCAAGTCAAGAGAGCTAGTATAAGTGAGTATTAGATGAGTGTTGTAGTAAGCTGATAATGATGAGAAATATTATAGTAATATAATATTGGTGATGTTCAGTAGTGTATAATCTCTTTTTTCCTGACACGCCCCAACACTCCTTACCATGTAATACAGGGCTGGAACCGCAAATCTCCTAACATTCCTCCGCACCTCCCCCTCATCGAGTATAAAGGCTGGGACTACGAGGGTAATTCTATATCCAGCGCTTTCATCTCATGTACATGTACGTTGTTAGAGATCGCCGGCGCCATATAAATGACCCTCGCGAGAGCGCTGTAAGTCACCACCGGGCCCAAAAAAAGGGTTCTCGATCAACAACCGCCCGGCTTAGACTGGTAAGTTGTTCATGGGACGGAACCCGTTCCATATGTGCAACATATATATATATATATATATATGCCACTAACCAAAACAAAAACCGTTCCAGTTCAGCTAGGGGAAAGAATAGTGGCCGATGCAATCTCACGCAAAGGGAGGTTCATCCGAGTCGAGTTGGATAGAAAAAGATATATATGTCATTGACGTATACCACACACACACACACACACACACACACACGAAACAACCGGAAGATAAAAGATACCCGTCCAGGCCAGGGACCGCACCGTGCGGGATATGATATGATATATAATAATAATGAAAATAAATAAAATAAACGAAGCACGTTGTCGTTGTGACGGAGTAACCGTACCGATAGACTCTATCCATCCATCTAGGCTTGCTCCCTGCATATTCTGACGTCAACGGCTGGCTGACCTCTAGTTACTGCTTTGACCGTCCGATCCGATTCGAACTAAGAGATGCGCCAACCTCACTTGTTAGTACTCATACTCTGTAAACAAATAGTCAAACCGCCCGCAGAAGAAACGACGCGTTGGAGATTCCGTTTCGTTTGGAACTAGATCCTGCGCCCTCTAATGGGGTGGTAGTCGTAGAGTGTCTATCTCTATCGGTAATGGCAATGGTAATGATAATGGTAATGGTAATCATGTTCTATTATTTATTTATTCGCTTATTTCTAGAAGGGGAAGGGGGGCTGGACGCGCGTATATGTATAGTATATATATATACATGAACCGGTGAACAGGTTCCTGCGTACGTGGAGGGGCAGCCTGTAAGGGTCAAGGGAGGAAGGAGGAATGGGGTGTCTGCGGGGCGGAAGATGGAAGAAGGGATAAGAAGCAGGGGGGTGGAGCGGACGTGCAAGGAGTGGAGGAGTGAAAATGAGAAGAAGCTTCTGCTACAGAAAGGGAGCGGAAGTGGAGCGCTTTCCGCTACAATTGTGAGATATTACAATTTTAAAGAAGACTGTTTAAAAAGAAAGTCAAAAAAATAACAAAAATAAAAATACATAAAAAATAAAAATAAAAATAAAGCAATGACAGTTTTAAAGAGAAGAAGGGGAAAGAACACTAGTATAGAAAATCTTACAATAAATTTAAGAGAAGAAACACCATATAAAGTTAGAAATCCTGCATGAGATTTTTTACATAAGCAGAGCAAGCATCAGTGATAGAGAGGTAAGTAGAAATATTAAAGAAAAAAAGGCGGCAATTTTTCAAAGCTATAGAAGAAAAAAAAAGTACAACCATATACCATTTGGCAATTTTTGACAAAAAAGAAGAAAAAACCAAATAAACTGTGGTGAACACGGTCATTCTTATCTCATAATAAGCGCACATGATTTGAAAGAGGAGAGCAAAAGGGGGGGGAAAAAAGTAAAAGAATGAGAGCAAGGAAACAGGACAGGCGAAGCTAACAGTTTAATGTTTTTAGAAACACAACAGCAGATAAAAAAAAGACAGAAGTTTCTTTGCGAAGACATAAAATAATAGCCGCTCATGATAAAATGAAAAGAGGCAGAGAATGAATATGCCTAGCACTTTAGTTGCTGTAGTAGTAGAACAGATGGAGAAGTATAAGTAGAAGAAGTAAAAAAGTAATCAAACTGAAGTTAGAAGTAAAATAAGAAAAGAAAAAGAAAAAAATATGAGTAGAAAGGAGGAAAAACCACTCTCACACAACGCACACGACGAAAAGGAAGATGAAAACGCGGCAATTTTGAAGAGAGAAATCACACTCATCAAGAGCTTTAAAGAGTAGATAACATGAGTCTTTGGAAGAGGTGGTTTTGTTTGGAGACGTTAACGAGGATAAAAAAGAAAAAGAAAAAAACAACAAAAAATTGACCTGAGCGGTTTTTCCTTTTTTATTTGATACACGCAAGAACCAAGACTAAGACCCATCTTTTTTTCGAAAAGAACAAAAAACTCCTGCTGGTGCGTTCACGAAGAGAGGAACACGTTTACTGCTGGAAATTTACAGGGTCGTTAGTAAGGAAGTTATCTTGCGTTAAGGACGAGTTCGAACGGTCTTTATGAGACGGGAAGTACCAAACCACATTTAATGGGACAGGCAAGGGGATTTTAGCACACACGTACCTTCATTGGTGCGAAGCCACCGCCGTATGAGTGGGAGGGTGGCATACCCATGGAGGGGTACATAGGAGGCGGAGGAGCGGGGCGGTAAGGCGTTCCAGCGGGTCCAGAGTTGTTCTGAGAGCGACCCCAGCTAAGCCTGACACGCGAGTTTCCAATTGGATATCCTTGCATCTGGTTGATGGCCATCTCAGCAGCGTGGCGCTGGACGAATTGGACAAAACCGCAGCCTTTTCCTGGTGGAATCTTGACGTAGGTGATTTCGCCGAAGCCCTGGAAGAAAGAACGGAGCTCATCCTCGGTAACGTAGCCGGAAAGTCCACCAACGAACACGGTGGTGTTGTTGGGATCTGTGAATTGGTTCATTGGCTGAGGAGCACCGTAGTACCCCATTGGAGGGCCACCCATGGGAGGGTACATACCAGCGGGACCAGCTCCAGGCATACCCATTGCGCCAGGTCCAGCGCCAGGGCCCTTGTTCTTGGGAGTAGCGGTGGAAATACGCATAGGGCGGTTGCCACAATAAACACCTTGCATCTCAGTAAGTGCGCGCTGCTGGTCGGTTTCGTCAGAGAAGCGCACGAATCCATATCCGCGCGACATGCCACTAATGGGGTCAGTCATGATCTTAGCGGATTTGCAAGATGGGAAGCGGCTCTGGAAGAGCGAAACAAGGACGTATTCGTTGACCTCTGGGCCAAGGTCACCAACGAAGATGGAGAACTCAGGACCACGCTCCTCACGGCTAAAGGGGGAAAAGAAAAGAAGTTAGTAAATGGGTATTATTGTACAGAATGTAGCGCATTTGTAAGTGTACTTACCTGCGATCGGCTAAACCACCACCAGAAGCCCAGTTGAGCTTGAAGGTACGGGAAGTGTTGGGAATGGGAGTTCCGCTCAGGGTCAGAGCCTTAGCTGCGGCGGCCGGGGTAGTGAAGTCGACGAAGCAGTACCCAGCGTTACTTCTAGGGGCATCAATGTCAGAGCGCGATTGCTTTTTTACCATGGAGAGACGCGGAAAGAATAGGGAGAGATTAAAAGGCAAACTCAGCAGTCGTGTAGTCCATTACGTACCCAGAGAATTTGTCGCGGATCATCTTGACGTTAACCTGCTCACCCATCTGGAACCAGAGATTGCGGATGAAGTTCTCATCAATCCAAGGCTCAAGCTCACCCATCCTAGTCAAAGCAACGAGTAGGAAAGAAAAATTAGTCAAAAACATTCCCAAAAAGACACCTATACCACGGGACATTACATCGCGCGACAGAAAATTTGACAGGCGCAAATCGAATTCAACAACATACCAGAGAGTGGTTTTGGCCTCACCGCCCTGCTGAGCCGAGCTGGGTGCAGGCTCACCAGAAGCATTGCCCTGGAACGGCGCAGGAGAGGGATCTGATTGTCCGGGCATGGCAGAGTCCGCGGTCGCAGGAGCACCGGTTCCGGTAGCAGCAGAGTCGGTAGCTCCGTGCTGGTTTTGGAAAGTTTCGAAGTTTTGGAACGACATGATGAATGATTGAGAAAGTTTCAAAAGATGCGAATTATACAACACCAGGGGCGTAGAAGTAGATAAATCGAAGGAAATATGAGAGACGAAGTGCTAGGAACCTAAATTGGAGCGTAAGATGGCAGTCAGCACGTGGTGTTTCAGAATATAGTCTCCAGGAAAGAAATAAAAG